TTCTTTCCATTCTTTGTTCTAGGTAATCCCAAAAAAAAGTCCATAGAAATGTCAGTCCAAGGATATTCAAGAATAGGCAAAGGAAGACTAGGCAAAGGAGTGTATAATCCATGAGGCTTCACCTCAGATTTAGCCTATTTATAAACAATACAATGATCACAAAATTTCTTCATTTCACACTTCATATGGGGCCAATGAAAATGTTCTTGGAAGTTTTTCAAAGTCTTTTGAATCCTAAAATGACCCATCAAACCCCCTTCATGTGATTCACTCACAAAAAACTCTCTTATGAAACACTTAGCACACACAATATATTTATTTTAAACAAAAATCCATTATGTCTATAGTAATCATTTTCAGAAAATTTTTCATATGCAAATTTTTTTAGTAAAGTCAACATCATTCACATATATGTCTTTCAAAGATTCAAGATTAAATAATTTAGTTTCAAGTACAGAAAACAATGCATGTCTTCTAAAAAGTGCATCAACCACTATATTCTCTTTTACCTTTTTATGTTTGATAACATATGGAAATTACTCTAAAAATTCTACCCATTTAACATGTCTCTTATTAAGCTTACCTTGTCCTTTTAAGTATTTTAAGGACTCATGATCACTATGGATGATAAACACTTTAGGTAAAAGGTAATGCTGCCAAGTCTTTAAAGTTCTATATAGTGCATACAATTTCTTATCATAAGTTGAATAGTTAAGGGCAATTCCACCTAACTTTTCACTAAAATAAGCAGTTGAATGTCTTTCCTGCATAAAACAACTCCAATACCCACGTTTGATACATCACACTCAATTTCAAAAGATTTTGTAAAATTAGGTATAACAAGAATGAGTACATTAGTTAACCTATGCTTAAGTGCAACAAAGGCTTCTTCTTGTTTCTCACCCCACATTTTCTTTAACAACTTCATTTAGGGGTGCAATCAAGATACTAAAATATTTAATAAATCTCTTATAAAAAATTGTTAAACCATGAAATCCCCTTCCCTCATTCTTAGATGAGCTTAACCTTTTCCACATCTACTTATACTTCCTTAGCACTAACAACAAATCCAAGAAATACTACATGATCAGTACAAAAGATGCATGTTTCCAGCTTGACATACAATTGTTCTTTCCTAAGTACATTTAAAACTAATTAAAAATGCTCAACATGCAAATCAAGACTAGTGTTATAGATAAAAATATCATTGAAGTGCACCACAACAAACTTGCCAATAAAATCAGTTAAAACATAATTCATTAATCTCATGAAAATACTATGCACATGAGTCAAACCAAATGGTATAACCAACCACTCATAAAAACCATATTTTGTTTTAAAGGCAATTTTTCATTCATCACCTTCTTTAATCCTAGTATGATTATAGTGACTTTTCAAATTAATTTTAGAAAACACACATGCACCATACAACTAATCAAGAAAATCATCTAACTTAAGAATTGGGTGCCTATACTTGATGGTGATATTATTTACAGCTTTACAATAAGAACACATCCTCCATGAGCCTTCCTTCTTGGGCACTATAATGATAGGTACAACACACAGACTCATGCTTACACCCAACCTTTGCTTATGAGTTCAGTCACTTGCCTTTCAATTTCCTTGGTATCTTGTGGGTTGCTCTTATATGTGGGCCGATTAGGCAAAAAAGCTCTCAAAATGAGATCAATTTGATACTCAATTCCCCTTATAAGTGGTAAACCGTTTGATACATTCGCAAAAAAAAAACATCTTGGTGACTATGCAAAAGAGACTTAGTACAAGAAGACAATTTAAACTTTTCAAATTGGTTAGCATGTAAAATTTGACTTAGACAAAAAGTAAGTAGAGGGGTTTCCTTGTGCAAAACACCCTTCGTATCTTCCTTTCCCTTGCTAAACAAAGGTATTTACCCTAAGTGTCTCACTCTTGTTCTTTTCACTCTTTTCTCTCTCATGTGTTTTATTCTTTCTCTTTTCACTATTTTTCCTCTCAAGTGTTTTACTCTTTTTTTTTTCTCATGTGTTTCACTCTTGCTCCTCTCAAGTGTTTTATTTATTTTTTCTCTCATGTATTTCACTCTTGAACTTGAAGAAACTCCTTTATCTCTCAAAACCTTATCTCTCCAATTAGAATTATTATTATTATAAGAATTCCTTCTCATGGTTCCCATCCTCTTTAGTTGTTGTTCTACTCAGATAGCCTTATGTAACAAATCCTCCATTTTAACACACTCTTGCAGCTCCACAACATCTCTAATATCATAGTTTAACCCACTCAAAAATTTAGTCATGGTTACTTCATTCTCTTCATTAATATTAGTTCTAGTCATGGTCACTTCCATCTTATTAAAATACTCCTCCACATTTTTATTCCCTTGAGTCATCCTTTGAAGTTTGAGTTGCAAATCCCTATTATAACTTCCTCGAAAATATCTCTTTCTTATAATTTTTTTTCATTTCGGTCCAAGAGTCCACCATGGGTTCTTTATTTCTAACTCTCTTCCTTTGGTACTTATTCCACCAAATTAAGGCATAATTTGAAACTTTAGCTATTGCCAATTTTTTCTTTTGCTCTTCATTCTATGCATTGCAAGCAAACACATGTTCTAATTTTAACTTCCATTTCAAGTAAGTTTCGGGATCACTTCTTCCTTTGAATGTTGGAATATTTGACTTGATTGCATCAACTCTAGATTGTATTTGTCCTCCCTCATTCTCTCTTCTTCTTCTCTTATTTCTTCTTCTATTTTCATGATTTCCTTGTTATGATTGCTCCATTTGGTCCAATTTGCCATGGAGTCTATTACTTTGTTGTTTCATTAGTTTCTCCAAATGTTGAGTTAAGACTTGCATTTGCATTTGTGAAATTCCAATATTTGGTATTTCCCCTGACATGCTTCAACAAACAAATTAGAAATAACAATAACTCTATACTCAGATCACTTTCTCACATGTATACACTCCACGCTTGTGTTTCACTCAATATGACTCTTTTATCAATTATCACCTTGTCTTTTACGACTCGTTCTCTCCTTAAGTTCTTACAGGAATCAAACAATCCATCATCAAGATTCACTTTTAAGATTAGTAATGACAATACTAAAAAAACATAATTTTAGTATCCACAAAAGAGAAGTAGTAAAAAATAATTTTGCTACCAACAAACAAGTGAGACAATATGAAATTAAAGAAGACACTTGAAATAATTTTTTTACAAACAATTGATATGAGTTGAATATAAAGATTGATAACTATATTTTTTCTAAAATTTTCTTTCATATATAATTGAAATTCAAAATCAAAATTGGAAGACCATCATTTTTTTTACTTTCAGATTTTATATTTAGCAATAATTAGTGCATGATGTACATTAAATGAAACAAAACATTGCAGAATGGTAGGGAACAATGACGTGAATAATAACATTGAACAAAATTAATGAAAGGTGTACGCAACAAAACCTTGCAGTGATACCAAATGATATGATTCCAAATAAAATTGACACATAAAGATTTAAGGATTGAAATTAATTAAGAACAAAAAATATAGGAATTAAAAACAAATTATAGAAAATCTTAATAAAGGAAGGAGTCACAAACAAAGTTTGAAAAACCTAAAAATGATCATCATGCGAATTGGTGAATTTTGAATAAAATTGAAAATGTAAGGATGAACCCTATGAGAGAAATATTCATAGTCTCACAAAACTCATTTGTTGCCCTTTTTTTTTTAATTCAACTATCATAAATACAAGTTTAGGTTTTTCTTAAAATTTCACTTTATTTGTAATTAAATAAAAATAAAAAAATATTACAAATAAAACTAATTTGCCTCAAATGATAAACTAAAAATATTATAAACTAATGATGCTGCATTCAAATCCCAACTCTATAAAAAAAATTATATTTTTAATTCACAAAGCCTATTGTACATACTTAACTTTTATACTCGCATCAATATTTTTTTTAGGTTGAATTCCTATAACTTACTACATACAATTATACTTATGAGATACAATTTTTTTTTCATACCACAGTAGAGTTATAGAAATATCCTCGAACTTTCCATTTAATCATTTTATTTTGTAATTCTAGTAATAAATAAAGTTAAAATATCTACTATTGAATCCTTAATAATATCCCTACACCATGTCATACTCTAAGATGAATACTCCTTAGTTCTCATTATATTGTAATATACCATTCATATTTTATCATGCCACAACTCCAAATATTCCATTCTAACAAAAATATTATATATATATATATATATATATATATATATATATATATCATATTTTAATTATATATTATACATTCAATTTCAAATTATAGTATTAGTTCAATGAAGTAAAAACAAATTACTTCATATTGTTGATAAAGATTCTCATTTACACTATTTATCTTTACTTTTTAATATATTAAGATATATTTATACTATTTAAAAATTTTTTAATAATTAAATTTTATAATTAATATTAAGGAGAATAAGTAACTTAAAAAGTAGGGATGATTTTATAAATGCATTTTCTTTAAGCCTCATAATAAATTATGCAATGTACATAACTATTTTTTTACTCAATTTAATTCAATTTTAGTTAAAAAAATAGTTTCTTTCATATTAATTAATTGTTTTTATTTTGTTTTATTTTTTTAGCGCTTTTAACCGGAATAATGATTTTAAGAAGAGAAAGGGAGTGTATCTTGTAGTTTATTAAGAGATAATATGTCAAGAGTCATTATTCCATTACTAAAATTTTATATTTATAATATGAAATGATATATTTTTATGTAAAATTCCTACTTTGGCATGAGAAATATAATATTAAAACTGAGGCATCATAATACTTAACTAATTAATATAATAGTGAAAATAAGCAAGAATAATTAAAGATTCAAATTGAAAATTCTTATCAGTAAAGTAAACAACAAAACACCATCATTCTTATTTTACAGGTCAAAGACAGAGTAAAAAGTAAAAGTGTATGCTACTGGGCTTATGTTTGTGGGCAGGAATAGTAGCTCAGTAAAAGCCCAAGACTATTTGAAAATCATTTCCACCAAAAACAAAAAGAAGCATCAAGAAACAACGCGTTCTGTTTCTAACGAAGAGAAAATAAATACCTTTTGTTGTTCTGGCATAAGAAGTGTTGCTGTAGCTGTTGCGTTGTACGCATTGAACAATAGAGGTTTTGTTAGTTCCGTTCGGTGGATAACATCAATGGAGCCAGTGTTGGAGAAACTCAACGCCTTCACGAAATCCGGCCAAGACTTTCTTGACGGCGTTTTTCGTCGCCGCAATCCGGTACTCTCTCTGGTGTTTTTGTGTTTATGCGAGTTCTTTAGCGTTTATTCACTGTGTGTAATGGTAATTTCAGATTGAAATCCTTAAACGGTTGCAGAGGGAAGCGTTCTCTGATATTATGAAACTCAGAGACCGGCAAGAAAAGGTTGAGAGAGTCCTCTCTTTCTATCAGTCCACCAAAGGTGGCCCCTTTCAAGAGACCTGCACTCACGTGAGAGGTCACGTGGATTTTTCGGGTTCTTTGTTGGTCTTGAGTGATGTTAATCAGCAAAACTTAGATATTGTAGATAAGTGTGGAATCAGAACAGGGGTTGATTCCAGGTTCATTTTTGAAACAAGCATTGGGGAGAAAGGTTCTGCTGCTGCTGAGTTTGTGGCTACTCATGGTGGGAGGGAGCATTGCGATGAAAAGCCTCTGTCTCTTTCCAAACTTAGTTTTACAGCAAATTGGTTCTCTTTGGTGGCTTTGCCAATTGGTGCCCGGGGCAGAGATGTTGCAATTCCTTCCAATTCTTTCGATCAGGTACTATTTACTTTGGTATGTTTCTCTAACAAATAGTCAATGTTAGAATTTGTGGTGTCTGGCTTTTAGTTTGCCGATGGTGTTCGCTTGAAACTAGAGGTGTGAAAATTCCGGGAATGGTTTTTCAATATAAAGCCTATTCCTGAATTCTCACCTGAGGAACAGCAATTTGATCTGTCCATAGAAGTTAAATAGTTAGAAGAATGCAAGTTCAACGGTTTGTCCCAATTGGGTAAATTGTTTTAGAAAAACATCAATACTACATGCTAGTTGTTAGAAACACATAGCCTAGCCTTGAAAAATCTGCGGCAGAAGTAATCTTAAGTATGGATGTGGCTTATCCGAGAGACACGGGGTTCATTATTCTAGTCAAGTCACTTGTCTATGTAGTTGAATTATGAATTGCTTATTTTATCTAGATTTGCAAATTTTTTCACTGTAAATGGAACTCTATTGCACACATAAGATATAGTTCTTTTAAGCTGCAATCACTATAATTTTTGGCTCTAAGGCTTGTTGATATCCATTTTTACTCTACCTTTTCTAATTAGTCTATTTATATGCTGACAAGGTGTCGTGCTGCATTTAGGTTGGAAAAGGGTTTACAGATTTTTCCTATTTTGGACCACCTCTTCTCAACTTGCATTGTGGTTCTGCTATAGGCATAACTGTGAGAAAGTCAAATGTCATTGCTTCATTGGCTCGACTTGTAACTGGTACACACATTCTACATACATCTAGCACCTTTGGGGGACTTGTATATCAATTTTCTAGAGGAACAAAACTATCTATTTTGGGTCTTCACCACGGGCCTTTATCATCAAGGAGACGTGGAACCTTTGGTGCTTTTACAATTCCAATAGTAATGTCAAAGCAAAATGAAGTTTCTGAGGGAGCACCTGAAGTATTGCCATCAATGGGAACACGTGTTTTGGGTGGTTCTATTGCCTTGACCGCAGAGTCCGAAATTGATGGTTTTGGAAAACTTGGAGGTTGGTTCGAGATGAACAAATTAATTCCCCAATCTGTACAATTCGGTGTAATTTTATCTGATGATTCAGAAGATTCATTAGGTTGGGGAATGAGTTTAAGTAGATTCGTAGGAAATTCGGCAAATGAGGCTCATTTTCAGGCTGAATCCTACCTAAAATTTAACATGGGTGATAAATTTTGCTTGAAGCCAGGTGTTGTATTGGGAACAGATGGGAAATCTAAAATAGCTGCTTTAATGCTTCGATCTAATTGGTCCCTCTGATCAATAAATGTGTATTTTCTGGTTTAGTCGAGTTCCCAATTTTTTTAATCAGGTGCATATGACTAGTTATTCTTTGTTATATCATGTTTGATTTTTCTTTCTTGATGCAAAATGATAGCTAAAATGGAATTCTAGCTTGCAAAATTAGTTAGGGATTTAACTGATGTTTGGCATAAATTGTTCACAATCAGCAGATGCAAGATTTTGGTTTACACCAAAATGTAATTTGCAAACAAACAACCTTTTTTATTGCTACATATGGAAGTCTTCAGAACTAAACTACTTATTTTATACATTTTAATTCGTAATAAAATAATTTATATCACTAATAATGCGCACCTTGTAAAATTCCCTTCGTTACAGTAATAGAAAACTAGCATTTCCCTAACAATTTTGTTAGCAAAGAAATTAACTGGTGTAAAAAACTGAGGTTACTTACTTCCATCGAGCTATTACATTAATATAATCCAAAGGCAATTATTTTGGTATTATTAGTAAAATCAGTGCGAACAAGATGGAACTACTATTATGAGTGTAAATAATAAGCCAGCTTATATATTTGCAAAGAAAAAATATATTTGAGAAGCTGAAACTGTAATTGATTAAACTAAAATAAAGGGCATATAAATAAATAACAATAAGTAGGATTAGAGAGTAGGCATCATGCATCAAGAACATAGCTTGCATTTATTTAATGTTACTTGTAGTTTTACTATTTTGTCAATACAAAAGGACTTCGAACTACATATATGTCGTTGCTCCAAGTAATAGATCCGAACAGATCTTCCTTTAAGGATGTCAAAGGTGAAAAAATAACTTTGTAGCTTAGCTTTTTACAATTTTTTGTGAACTGAAGTTTATCTGGAATCAATGTGACAGTTACATTACTTGGAGCATTGACAACGGGAAAGTACGTTGTTTCGTCTTCTTCACCAACGTTTGTGACAGTTCTACTCACGCTCACAACTCCTTTGCCAGTGAGGTTTACAGCTATGGAAGGATAGTTGATGTTGGAGATGAGATCAAAACTCGAATCCTTAGGACAATCGAAATTATCAGGGACTGTTTTGGAGATGAGCTTAATCGCGCTTATGTTAAGTTTAATGTAGCACAAAAAGTTCACGTAGTCAATGACGTCGGTTTCGTAAACCATCCCTGGTTGCAATGGTTTATATGTTGTTATTTCCCCTGCTCCATAGTCATAAGGGTTGGCCACCAATCCCGAATCATTTTTTATGCGACCCTTCACGTTGTCGTATTGAATTGCTGCATATATAGCAAAAAATTATGAAAATTATACAATATTATGTCATATATTACTTGGGAATTCTAATTTACAATTTGTATATAAGGACATTCCACTACAAAGGAGTTATTGTTATCCTTAAAAAATCACATAAAGTTCAGTGTAATTTGCCCTTTTTATATTCATCAGATGACTAACCTGAAGTCATGATAGCAGATTTGACTGCTGAGACACTCAAAGTGGGGTTGTGTGTTTTGATACTGCACACAAGCCCTGAAACATGTGGACAAGCCATGGAAGTCCCAGAGATTATATTATACATTGATCGTTTTTGTCCTTTTGGAACATCGGATGTGTCATTTCCAATCCATGCAGCAAGAATGTTAACTCCTGGTGCTGCAACATCAGGCTACAAGAAAAGAAGACAAATTTTGTTTACTGTTAAACATTGAGCATCATAAAATGTGTAATCCTATCATCATATCATACCTTGAGAATATTGCTTGAAAGCGGCGAAGGTCCTCTTGATGAAAAGATTGCTATCTCAGGAGCAGGCTTATAATTAGGAACTGTAATTGTTGCTAGTATTGTTGCCTTTGGATTGCTTCATATTATAAGCATAAACGATTAAACTAACCTGTTATCAAAACAAATTCTTAAATTAACCAACATGGTTGCTTTACTATCATCCTTACCTGGTTGATTTGATATATTGGAGGATTTTGATGCCATCTTTTGGATTTACCTCTGTTGCCGGAAAGTTCCCAAAATTATCTGCCACCACTGATAAATTCACAATCAAAACCAAACCTATTCCTCCAAATTTTTTCAATGTATCAACTAGAAAATAGTCATGCATGCCATCACAAACAACTATCTTCCCATGGAGTTTCTTTCCATCTAATGAATTTGGTTGGCAATGTCTGCATATAACAAACGATAGTCAGTGGTTTTGAGTCTTAAATATAACTTATTAAAACATACTTTTGTTTTCTTTACTTAGGTTGTCAAATTCCAAACTATGATAATTTTGGATTTTCTAAATTATTTAGCCTTGGCGATTTTTTAAATTTTAGACATAATATAAGAAAAATACAAAAAATGGGTAAATTTTTTTAAACATTACCAGATGATAATAAGTTTTTTTGTTTTAAAAAAATATTTTTAAAGCACATTTTTTTAATTTTTTTAAAAAAGAAGCGTGGTTTTTAACATGAAAAATTGCTAAGGTTTTTCATGTATACGTGTGTACCTGGCTTCAGTTGCGGTGCTGTTGTTTGCCTTGGCAAACTCACCAGATATGATTGGATAATTGGGAGATTTTGAAAGGGGAGAGAAATTAATTGCTCTACCCTGAAATTTGATAATTATCAATGACGAATAAGGACAATATTAGTTTCACCAAACTAATCTAAAATACTAACTAGAAAATAAAAATTGAAAATTTCGATGAATATATTTAATAGTGATTTTTTAATTAACTTTGAAAACATATGACGTATTAAATATTCATTAATCAATAATACTTATAAAATATTTATTACCCAAAATTTAAAATGAATTATTTTTTAAGTAATTTCTAGTTTTCATGTTAAGATAGGCATATAACATCTAGTTATAAATAGACATGTTTTGTCCTCCTCTTAAAACAAAAGGTACCGGCCCGTAGTTGTTTGGGTTTCAGTTCAATTCAATAGAATAAATCATTTTTATTACTTCTCTGATTATGTATATGGAAAGTCCAATATTTCTTATCAAAGTTATTCAGATGGAGAAGTATACATTACTCTCATTAAATTATATATTATTATTATTCGTGTATAATATTTGTAAATCTTAAGAAAAAGTAGAAGAAGTAATTTGTAATTAAATAGAAAACATTTTTCAGTCACATAAGTTAATTTTCAATTAAAAAAAAATATTAATTTGATAATTTGTGGATACCTTCACATCATATGTAAATTGTATGTATTATGTCTTTATTTAGAAACGTGTCATATTTATTATTTTTTTAATATGTATAAAAAATGTTAAATTTTAACTTTTAAAATTTAAATAATTGATTTTAAAGGTATAGTTGAAGAGTAAAGAAAAATAGTTAAAAGATAGAATTTATAGTTGAACAGAAAATGTACGTACCTTGATGATGGTGTGATCACCCAAGACGAGATAGGATTGAAAGTCCCGATCGATGGAGGAAGCTGCAACAGTTAAAATCCAAGGTGAGTCGTTGACAACCGTGTAGGGGCTGGATCCCTCATTTCCAGCGGCACAGACGACGACGATGCCGCTCTCCATGGCATGGAATGCTCCGATTGAAATGACGTCGGTCAACAAGTCAGGATTTCTCACAGGGAATTGACCTAGCGACAATGACAACACATCCACTCCATCGGCAATGGCATCGTCGAACGCTGCCATAATGGCCGACCCCTCACACGCAAACGAACACACTTTGTAAATGGCCAACCTGGATTTTGGGGACCCACCCTTTGCATTCCCTGGCCCTAGACCATAGTATGATACATCTCTTACAATGCTCCCCACTGCCGTGGACGCCACGTGGGTTCCATGACCAATAGTATCCCTTGGCGAGTCAGAGATGTAAAACCTTGCTCCAATTAGCTTCCTAATCAATTACCAAAAAGATTATCCATTATACATCATTCTTAAACAATTATTTCTTCATTTCCAATCTTTATGGTGGAATTTTATGTGCTTCATGGAATTATTATATGATATGTAATCAAATATTATAGCGTATGGTGTGTGATGATCACTTAATAATTTTTGGTGTGGTTGATATTTCAATCTATTACCTATTACAACTAGAAGAATTGAAGTCAGGTGATGTCATGCATTTTCCTTTCCAACGAGATGGAATTGGACCCATTCCCTTGTCGTTAAAACTCGCTGCCTCTGGCCATATACCTGAAATATTTCATTTTATATATCAATTTTTTTAATTAAATGATTTATCAAAACATAAAATTTAACTATAAATTTGTTTTGGTTGTTGATAATTAACCTGTGTCTATGACACCAAGGATAATGTCTGACGAGGGAGAGAAATTAGAGATGGTGTTTAGTTTGGTGTCCATTGCGGTGAGACTTTGTTGTGCCAAGAAATCCCATGAGCGTGTTGTATGGAGCTTCAGAATGGGGTCAGGAAAAACCGACATAACACCAGGTTTTTTAGCAATTGAGTATGCCTCCTCTTTTGTTAAACGAGCTGCAAAGCCTGAGAAACCATGTTTATAGTTTCGTAACAAAGCATTCTCATCCCTTCATTCACATTTTCACATCAATTTGTCTTGTCAGAGAATATTCACGTAAATATAATACGAGACATGAAATTATGCAGACGTATAAAGTCACGTACCTTCTTAGTACTGAATTGAGAATTTGTGCATGGTCATTCCGAAGAGTAGCATTAGTGGAAGTTGAAGCTCCCATGTAAACAATATAAACTTGTTTTTTGTTGATATCATCCTTACTATCACTTGTAGCTGATAATCTCGAGACCCCAAGAAAGAACAATAGAGTGAAGCATAAATGTAATAAAATTGTATTCCCTTTCATGTTTTTAGTTTATATTTTCTAAACACTTTGTTGCTCTTAGTGATTTGCATCACCCTCGCTGTTATATATAATGCAGTTGATGTAACCTATTCAATGCTCAATATGTGTCACATTCCTCATGCACATTGTAATTACCTTTAAGCACTCAATCCATGCAAAATGTTTAATATAGTATTAATATGGAGACATGGATGATACGGGGAAACTTTTTGGTTAGTCCCAATAACCATCATATTCGATAACCAGAAGTAGATGTGGCATGTGAATTATATACATAACCCTCCACTGCATTCATCTACTTTTACATGACTCTTTTAGAAATTAAGTCTCTCTTTAGTTCACAAAATTTTAATAGAATTTGTCTTAACATGTGATTCATCTGAACCAAAATCTTCTTTAACATCGGCAATTACATTCTTACGTTATTAACAATTTACCCAACACTAAGTATTAGTAAAATATATGAACAATTAACATAAATGTTAAATTAAGATAAATTTTATAACCATGACTTAAAGATTAAATTAATTCATATAGCAACTGGAGTATATATATATATATATATATATATATATATATATATATATATATATATATATATATATATATATATATATATATATATATATATATATATATATATATATATATATATCTAGACGATAGAGACATGGAAGATGCCCATGTTAATTTACTCCCTTTTTCCAATGCTTAACTCATGTAAATAACCTCTTCATGATAATTATCTTAAAATTATTCCTTTAATTAATTAACAGCATAAAAGTTTATATGAATAATATAAAGAAATTAATCTGGGAACGTTTAGACAAAGGGATGAAATAGATAATCAAATTGGAATTCATGATGAGATGCCGTTGAGGGATTACACGCAACCTATAAATATTATTTTTTTCTCTATAAAGAGGATTTCGAAGTGTTTTTCAAATGATGCAATTGGATGCATATTCTCATTTTATTTATTTATTTGTTTATTCTTTTCTATTATCTGTCTTCATATGAGTGAGTCATCATAATTATATCGTAATTATTTAACTAATGGGGAATAAAATGTCCCAATTAAGTTAAGTATGAAATATGAATCTCGTTGGTGTGTCAATGTTTTCAACTGTTTGTTAAGATAATTCCATCGTAATGGTGGTCCATTATAAGATGATTTATACAAGTAACTCTTTCTATCAATTAAGACACGCAATTTTGTTATCAAGTAATTTTAATTCTCGTAACTTTTCAATTTTCTGACAGTATATAGTTTGCCAATTATTTTGAGAAAATTATTAAAAAATGTATAAAAAGGAAAACGAAAATAAATTATGAAGTTCAAATTTAATCTTCATTGTAATTGAAGTTCAATCTTGCTGCAAAATATTGGAATAGAAAAGTTAAAGGTAATACAATCAATTGAACAAAACCTTGAATACAGAAGATAACAAATCTATACATTGTAAATTTTTAAAATAAAAGTAAAAACTTGGTATTTCATCTTCTTCACCAACAATTGTAACAATTTGACTAGCATGCTCAATGTTGTTAGTAAAATTTGCTGCTATGGAAGGATAGTTAATGTTGGAGATATGATCAGGACTTGGATTCTTGGGATAATTCTGTTAGATATTGTTTATATATTATTTGATATTGTTAAGATATTGTTAGATATTGGTAACCACAATATCAAACAATATCTTCTGTTTATTCTGTTACTTTCAGTTACTCTTTTAGTTGTATTTCTCTACTATAAATAGACCACCCTATGTGTGATTTATACACAAGGGAAATTAATTCCAAACTATATTTTCTTTATATTCAACATGGTATCTAGAGCTTAAGGTTATCTTGAATTTTTTTCCGCCTTTTGTCCACTGCTTGGAGCCGCCCCACCGCTGCTAGAGCCGCCCCATCGCTGCTTGGTAAGCCGATCCTCCACATCGAAAAGAATTATCTTTGTCATTGAATTTTATTTGGTAGTGTGAAAGTGCATGTTTAGGAAAGTTCGGCAAGGAAAGACTTGGTATTTAAGTGTGTCCATTAGTGACCCACCTCTCTTTCCTGGGAACTTACCTAGTGTACTAGTTCACGTTCACTGTCACCGCTCGCACTGGAGCGATCCATCGGGTCCGCCGTTGTCGGAGAATTCGCCGGAGTTTCATTTTTTTTTACCGGTGACATATGATTTTGCTTGTCTCGGTCAGGGTTTGTTCTCCTGCTCTTCATGACTTCTTCCACTATTTCCAATTTTGTTAACGATTCTTTTGTGTTGACATCCCATCGTGATGACCGGGCTCGCCCTCGCAAACAGGAAAAATGGCGTCCTAAGTGTGAACATTGTGGCAAGCTAGGTCACAAGATTAACAAGTGTTATACATTACATGGTCGTTCTCCTCGATCTGCTGTAGTTGTTCGGACCAATCTTTCCCCACCTTTATCCGTAGGGGATCTTCCTTCTTCTGTTGCATCCGACATGTCCGCTATGTTCAACAAATTTCTCGAATGGTATAAGGATCAACAGTCTTCTAGTTCCACTATATCCGTCACACATACAAATACATATTTTCGTTGGTCCGACCCAATCATTTTCTCCTGGTCCTTGGGTTTTTGATTCAGGAGCCACTGATCATATTACTGGTAACAAATCTTTGTTCTCCTCTTTATCCTCTCCTAATCATTTACCTTCAGTTACACTTGGTCGATGGCTCTAGAGTATCATCTCATGGTGTTGGAACGGTTAAACTCTTTCCTTCTTTAACCATTGATAATGTTCTTTATGTCCCTGGGTCTCCTTTTAACCTTGTTGTCCATCGATCGTCTAACTCGTTCTCTTGATTGTGTTGTTACTTTTACCAACAATTCCGTGTGTTTACGGGACCAGGAGTTCGAAACGGGTGATTGGCACAGGATGTGAGTCTCATGGTCTTTATTATCTCCGTCCCTCTACACATGTTAGTACAGTTATGGAGTCTCCCTCTCTTCTTCATGCACAGTTAGGTCATCCAAGCCTTGCCAAGTTACGTAAACTTGTCCCCGCCTTGTCTAACTTATCTAGTTTGGCGTGTGAGTCATGTCAATTAGGCAAGCATAGTCGTACTTCCTTTCCTCGTAGTTTCACACGTGGTGCTTCGTCCCCTTTTGCCGTGGTTCACTCGACATTTGGGGACCTAGCCGCGTTAAGTCTACTTTAGGTTTTCAATACTTTGTTACTTTCATTGATGATTATTCCGGATGCACTTGGTTATTTTTGATGAAAAATCGTTCGAATTATTTCATATCTTTCAAACTTTTTTTAATGAAATTCAAACTCGGTTCGGTGTTTCTATTAGAGTTTTGCGTAGTGATAATGGCCGTGAATATCTTTCTCATTCTTTTAAACAATTCATGGCTTCTCACGGTATTTTGCATCAAACTTCTTGTGCTTATATACCTCAACAAAATGGTGTAGCTGAACGTAAAAATAGACATCTTATTGAAACAACTCGCACACTTTTAATTCATGGAGATGTTCCTCAACATTTTTGGGGTGATGCTCTTCTTACTGCATGTTATCTCATTAATCGCATGCCTTCTTCGGTTTTAGATAATAAAATACCTCATTCCATTTTATTCCCTCATGAACCACTTCATCCTTTACCTCCGAAAGTTTTCGGGTCTACATGTTTTGTTCATAATTTCAATTCTGGTCTGGACAAGCTTTCTCCTAGATCACATAAATGTGTTTTCTTAGGGTTTACAAGATCACAAAAAGGATACAAATGTTTTTCTCCTTCTCTTAACCGTTATTTTGTGTCAAAAGATGTCACCTTTGATGAGTTGTCTCTTTATTTTAAAAGTCAAACTTCACCTCTCGTCTCCATCCAATCTTGTCAACACTCCTAATACATTTAATGTTCCTGTTGTTTGTGACCCTCTAATTGTGTCTTCTTCACCATTAGTTTCGCTCCTGCAGTTAGCTTCTTCTCCACTGCCTCTTCAGATTTATAGTTCTCGAAACCAATCACAACCACCACCATGTGACTCTACTCAAGTGCCAACTACTCTGTCTCCTCCGGATCCGACACATGAGTCCGACCTTCCCATTGCCCTCCGAAAAGGTATTCGTTCTACACGTAATCCCTCTCCCCATTATATTGCTTTGAGTTATCATCGATCTGTCATTACCTTTTTATACATGTCTTTCCTCTATTTCTTCCGTGACCATTCCAAAAGCTGTCTGTGAAGCTTTAGCCCATCCTGGTTGGCGTCAGGCCATGTTAGATGAACTAAGTGCTCTTCATAATAGTGGAACTTGGGAATTGGTCCCGTTACCGTCTGGGAAATCTGTTGTTGGTTGCAGGTGGGTGTTTGCTATCAAAGTTGGACCTGATGGTACTATTGATCGCCTCAAAGCTCGTCTTGTGGCCAAAGGTTATACTCAAATTTTTGGGTTGGATTATGGAGATACCTTTTCCCCTGTGGCAAAGATGGCTTCGTTCGTTTATTTATCGCCATGGTTGCTCTTCAACAATGGCCTCTTTATCAACTTGGATGTTAAAAATGCTTTCCTCAATGGTGATTTGCAAGAAGAAATATATATGGAGCAACCTCCTGGGTTTGTTGCTCGGGGGAGTCTTCTCGGGATGGTATGTCGTCTTCGCAAATCCCTATATGGCCTAAAACAGTCTCCTAGGGCTTGGTTTGGAAAGTTTAGCAAGGTTGTTCAACAATTTGGTATGACTCGGTGTGAATCGGATCATTACTGTCTTTTATCGACACTCGAGTGCTTGGATGTGTTTACTTGATAGTATATGTTGATGATATTGTTCTTACAGGTAGTGACAACCATGGCATCTCTCGGTTGAAACAACATCTTTGTCACCATTTTCGGA